CTTTTTTAGATCGGGCGATTTCGTGCCAATGTAAGCCACACACTTGACGAAAGTTGGGTTGCCTCTTATGTAGGCCAGTAGTTGTTTACGTACTTTGGGACGAAAAAAGGTAATTTCGACTGGTTCTGTAACTGTAAGAGACAAAAAGGATCCAATTCTGAAGCAAGATCTAGCAATGAAATGTTATGTAAGACGGAGCGGCCTCCATATATTGCAGATCTCAATCCAATAGAGTATTTTCAGGATGTACTAGGTAGAACGTAGAACTGTTGGCTGGCTGGTCGATTTTAACAAGCGTTCAAATAAAAACGTGGTCAAGTTGGTTCTGAAAATTTGGACGTAGGGCGTAGCGTATAGCAAATGAACTTAAACGTCATCTGTCAAAGCGCTATATCGCCGCTATCAATTTGAATATTTTCGTTTTAAAAAGCGTTTAAAATGGTGTTTTCTCAAGAACAAAAAGTGTTTATCATAGAGTCCTACTTTAGAAATGGACGCAAGATTGATGGAATATGGAAGTATTCTATTGAGGAATGTTTCATAGAATTTCAAAATCAATTTCCCGGCGTTGTTGAGTACAAAATTTTTCAAAGTGCAGTTCAGCGTTGTGTTAATGTTTTTCGTGAAACGGGCAGTGTAACAAGAAAAGAAGGAAGCGGCCGACCTAAAAAGCGGACTGAAGAATTAAAAGAAAATGTCCAACAAATAATGGAAAATGCGCCAAGAACTTCTGTACGTGTTTTATCACAAATGGTGGGAGTATCAGTCGGTACCTGCCACACAGTGTTAAAAAAAGATTTGCGTTTGTTCTCCTATCGTTTAACTTGTCAGCAAGAACTTCATGAAGTTGATTTTCCGCGACGGGCTGTATTTTGTGAATGGTTTTTAAACAACTACGGTGAACTTCATAATATCACCTTTTTTTCTGATGAAGCCTGGTTTCATTTAAGTGGTTACGTAAACTCACAGAATATGAGAATGTGGTCTTCTGAAAAACCAGATAACTTTTTTGTCGAGGGCCCTCTACACGCTCAAAAAATTGGAGTTTGGTGTGCTCTCAATCGAAGGAGGATTTATGGACCTATTTTTTTTAATGGTACTCTTACTGCGCAAAGGTATAGAGAAGAAATTATCGCTCCTTTTGTTAACCAGCTGGAAGAAAACGAAATTACAAACTTTTACTTTCAACAAGATGGCGCAAGGGCACATACGGCAGGCGAGACGATGAATATGTTGAGGGAAGTTTTCCAAAATCGACTAATAAGTCTCAATGCTGAACATGAATTTCCACCGAGGTCATGTGATATTACGCCGTGTGATTTCTTTTTGTGGCCTTACCTTAAAAACACTATTTTTGAACTGCCTATTCCTGATTTAAACCATCTGCAGGCTCGACTTATAGACAAGATTCGTGAAATTAACAATACCCCGAGCATCTTAGAAAATGTCTTTAATTCTTTGAGGAACAGGTGTGAAAAGTGCTTGGAACAAGGAGGGGGACACTTTCAGCAGCTGCTTTAATTTATTGTTATAACAAGGAGGGGGACACTTTCCGCAGCTCCTTTAATTGTTTGTTATTGTTATCACGATTATTCTTTAAAATAAAGTTATATAGTCATTAACGTTATTGAAACTGACAGCTGCTATACAGCTCGTTGAGAAATGAGGTTAAGTTGGTCGCTATAAGCTACTCCCTACGTCCAATGTGTCGGAGCCAACTTCGACCACGTTTTTATTTGAACGCTCGTTATAAAAGAAAACACAAAAACAACGTGTGCTGTGGTTTGTAGATAAATGGCAAGTATACAGCGTTTTCTGTCACATCATTTTGTTTTTCGTTATTATTTAAATTTATCTTTCCAAGTTCTGCATTTAGGAAAATATTTAATACGGAGAAATAAAATTTATTAGAGGCAATTAATTAATTTATTTATATTTGGCGAATGAAAAACTTCCTTGGTGTTAGTAAAGGCTTTGTTAGAATGAAGATACTATTTAGTTCTAAATATAAATTTAAAACAGCTAAAATAAATTAAATTATTAGCTCTGTGTCATTAAATATTTATTTCTTGAAAAGTATATCTATTTTTATTAAAAGTATATCTATTCACTGTTCACATATTTTATTTAATTACTACAAAAAATATCTTGTGTGCAAAATATTCAAAAATTTTTATGAAAAAAATAAATACAAATTTTACTCAATAATATATCAATTTCTGTCTACACCCGATTGAGCGAAACTTTCACTGTATTAGTATGAGTACAACTAAAATTTTATGAGTGAAACTATTGTAACAGAAGTGAGTGCCTGACTATTAAGTGAGTGATTTTTGACTCTATTGTGAGTATGTAAAACCAATTAAGGGTTGACTTTTTCACTAATATGATTTAAATTTATTAACTATTATTGAGCAATTCTGAGGTCTCCATGAAAGAAATTGATTAACTGATTGGACGAATACCTAGATTGACATAACCTGTATTGTACGTTACAGATACGTATATAAGTATAGGTAACAATTTATCTACCTGTTTATTTAACCAAATATTAATAATGACTCAATATATTATTATTTTAATTATTGTAATCAAACCACTGCATTTAAACGTAATTTTCACCAAAATAACCGGATTAACAGACATTTGTCCAGCACTACACGCCGTACACCACACCACGAGATGGGGACGATGGGAATTGACAAAGACAACGCACAACAACCATAGAGACCATAGATTTCGCTACAGACTTCGTCTAAATACAAATAAAAGGCTTATCATATGCACTTATTTACTGGTAGCATTTCAGATTTTTCACATAGGTAAAAAATTATCTTGTTTATTGTTAATTATTATGAAATAGTATTTAACTCTAAGTTAATACTGATTATAAAGTCACTGTTAAAGCAAGTTTAAATTAAACAAAACTCTACTATTCAATAAATTCATTTTTCATATCTAGCGCCAATATTTTTAATTTTTGTTAAGTCTGGTTTAAATAATCAGTCATTAAATTAGAATATGTATTTAATTTCAGTATGGTTTTCCCTCTGGTTCGTCAAATCCCATTCTGATAAACAATTTCTTCCTGATAATATACATTCAAGTTTATACTAGGCATGCACAGTAATGGCTAACGCTGTTCTACTTACATTACATACTTTGTTGACTGTTCGCGGTTGTGCATTAAGGTGTACAATAATAAACTTATTTCCAAAAAAAGTGTTTGTTTTTGGAATTACATGATGTCCTCCGATCATTAATATTACCCGTTTAATATTAAATATTTAGTTTCTTCCAATAAATATATTTGCACAACTTTTCGATAGTTGAACATAATCTCCAAAAATTTATTTGTATGTAAATAATGCTAGAAAACAAGTATTTTGAAAATGACGAAAATAAATTATCCATTTGTGCTAATTATATTAATTTTGGAAAATAATATATAACAATAAATATTTGATATTTTCAAAAACTAAAGCTTCCCGCTAGTTTCAAGCAACATGTTTTCTCAGTGTAGGTACCTGTATCCGATTATTATACATATTAAAAATAACTTGTAGACTTACAACTAGTTCTATCCCATAAAACAATCTATTTATAATGCAACGCTAAACGGCAAAAAGCATATCCTCACGTCTGCAAATATTACTTCGGTTTTCATCTGAGCATGGAGATTGCACAATGCTACGTCTAGCTCTGTCACTGGTAAAAACAGTAACATTATTATCGTAACTGTACAAACAAATTGAAAAAAAATGTTATGCAAGAATGATGTATGTTTTTCACAGTCTTGCTGTTGTCCATTGAATGGCCACAACAGGCTAGAGCTTTTTGCAGGGAATTGCAAAGCGTTCGTTGAAATATATTATGCTTGGAGTACGTATACAGGGTGGACCAAAAATGGGAAGAAGGTTCGATGAACCCTGGCGCTGAAGAAGACACGGTAAACATTAAATTTTGAAGATTGAATATTGTGACCAAAGCGTTGACGCCTTCATTTTATTTGCTAAGTTTGAGAAATACACCATCAATACTTTTTCTGAATACAACTTAATGTTTTTTCCTTTGCACCAATCCATAAAACGTTGGTAGACACATTAATAAATTTCTTGAGATTTCTTTGGGAGAAGATTCATAGAAACCTCTTTCGCGCACTCCAGTATCTCCTCAGGTACACGTAAATCTTCATTAGATTCCATTTATACAGAGTTTTAGCAAATTGAATCACAAACAATCACAAATGAATTCAATTAGCAATATGGCGACTAATGTTTGACAAAGTATCCATGACTACATCGATATATCTTACTTACCTGCTTTTCTTTATTATCCAAATTTGGTTTGAATAATTTCAAAGCACAAATTTTTTATTCTTTTTTCAAACTATAAAACAGTTATTTCATCTCGTGAATGTTTCTACAATCAAAGAATGATTTTATGTCTTCAGTGTTATAATTTTTAATTGAATACAATAATTTTATAACACTGATCACTGAGGATCCCGTAACCAACTTTTTTTACACTGACATGTTAATTAACTGCCAGTTTGATTGTCCGTCCTGTATACTGAGTATGGCGCGCGGTAAAACGTATTGAAAACGCTTTCTTCACGCCGCTGAAGAAAGTAATTGTTGTTTATTGTTGAAAACACAAAAAATTAATAACGAAACACATGCATGCCTTATATAACCTCTCGAGTATATCGTTGAATGAAGGTTTACTCATTTGCGCTATATAACCGCGAGATTCAGAATTCGAAATAAGTTTACATTTTTTATGATGTTTAAAAGCTACGTGAGAGGTCAGTTACCCTTTGACTGACTTAAAATCCATTGTACATCGATTATAAATGACATTTTCATTTTTGTACCACAGGGTTCAGCTTTAAGCCCCCTGTTACTTTTATTTATGTTAAATATGATTATGCTCTGTCTAAACTAATATAATTGCTGTAATTTAGGCAAATTTCACCCTAATGTGGTTTATTGTTTCAGGAAAATCGTTTTCGATAACGATAACAGTCAATACGTCGCCTCCTCAAGTAGCAACCTACAACAAAGCGATCAAAGTGACGGTAGACGGCCCCAGGGAACCCAGATCTAAAACCAGTAAGTGTCAAAATATTTTATTAAAACACATGTCTGACATAATGAATAATGTAGGTAATCTTTCAAAGGAATATGTTGTGTTCTTGTTGCTCTAACACCACTCTTAACAAAGATCAACACATCAAAATAGTCACTAAGGAAAGATATTCCGCAATTGTTTCATTGTCAATTGTTTTTTTTACCTAACCAATATATACAAAAGTTGTATCGAAACAATTGTTCTATAAAGTTATGCTTTATTTCAATCCAACATTGAGAAGACGGTAATCTATCTCTTTCCCTTTTAGATTCAGGGAAAATATTTTACGAAAAAATACGTCAGGTATCACGATGAACCGTGACAAATAGGCGATATATCGCGTGCGGCAAATTGCAGCAATTTCAAAAACATATTTGGTGGACGCAATGCTGTTGCCTTAAATATTTCTCCAATAAGTCCCATTTTCTCTCGAATTTTACCCTTTTGTGCTACTGACGCGTGTTGTCGGGCATATTTATTCAAAACAGCCATTGAAAAGCGAGTTTCTCGTGAAAAAAACATGTGTCTAATTATGGGAACATGTGCGTATTAGTTTTGTTGCTCTTTGAAATGTACGGCTGCTTTAAAATATTATTTCCAGTCTTCTTACCTTATATTCGATTATTAAATGTTGAATATCGTGTGAATATTTGACAGTATTATTTGAAATGTTTAAAGTACAGATGAATTTAACACTGATAAGGCGATTTATATTTGATTACTGTGATTTTATTTTACAAGATTAATAAAAATGTGCATGATTTGATGAGAAATTTTGGAAAAAACATAATTTTTGGTCTCACAGTGAAGTTATTTATTTCGATTGTTAAAATATTTAAATAAACTTAAAATCTTTATCTAGTGAGGATTTACATAAAATTTCTTAGAAATTCTATTTAGATAAAATGTGGTTAGAAAATTTTTTGTATTATGTAACGGTTACTGAATAAAATGATAAAATAATTTTACCTACGACCACTACTGTAAGTACTTAAAAACACACTGTCTGCGATCAATGTAAGATTCCTATTATGTACGGTAAAAAAACGCACAGTTTTCCTAGCAACTGCCTACCAACGGCCAATGCAATACTGTTTGTATTGACCGTTGCTAGGCGGTTACTAGGAAAACTGTACGATTTTTTTACCAAGCTGTGTGATTTTTTTACCGTACGACGTAATAGGAATCTTGCATTGATCGCAGACGGTATGTTTTTAAGTATTAAAAGTAGTGGTCGTAGGTAAAGTATAGTACGTAATACGTGGTGTAATGCAATTTTGCACTCATAGAATTACGCACTCGCCGCTACGCGGCGTCGTGCGTAACTTTTCCATTCGTGCGTAAATTGCTTTTTACAACACTTATTACGTAATATACTATTATTCACCATCACCTTATAATCGGACTTTTATTTTCACATAAGAACCGTCTAAAGTGATACTTTATCCACTAGTGGAATAAAGTAACTTTTTTTCACGTGTAGAATAATGAAAAAATAATAAACCTATAATAAAACAAATTTAATTTATTTTTTTATTAGCATTTTATCACATTTAACTTCCTTTCCGTTAATAACAACTCTTGTAACATTGTTAACATCTACCGAAGTTTGTGAAGAATTTGCACATGTTACGGAATGTAAGGAACAGCTATATTTTCCTTGGATTTTCCTTGCAATATCAAGTTTGTTAGATATAGACTTCTCAATATAACTTTCTGCTACAGAGGAGTTCTTCCATAAACCATGCTGTTTGATGGTTATAAGATCAGCACCTTTATTGCCAATAAAGTTGTTGAAGTAACATGTAAAAGGTAAAGAGATATTACCTTAATCATTAAATATTCTTTATCGGAAGCTTCAGTAAAAAATTCTTCAATATGTGCTCTTTCCAACACTGCAGCTTTTTTGCTTTGTATGCTCTCTATTCACTCTTCAAATAAGCAGTAAGCTTGTTATATTTTCCAATATCTATATCTTTGTAGACCTTTATAGCAGCCTTCAACATTGAATACTTCGATCACATAGATGAATTTGCATATTTTTTCTTCAAATTTAAAAAATACGATAACGTGACTTCTTCATTTAATGTCATTACTCTCCCTTTTTCCCTTCATTCGTTAAATTCGGCGAACACTTTTTAGTAATATTCCCTGAACTTCGCTGCCAATAAATGGAAAATTGCTTCTTGAGCTTCTTCAAAAACAGCCACAGGAACACAATTACTTTCTTGTATTTTTACCAAATTCAGATAGAACTGATTATTAAATAATTGATAATAAACAACGTACCATAGCAACCAGTAAGTATAACAAAACCTACCACGTTTCAAGTCGTGCGAATATTTTTTTATTAAATTCCAACAATTCTGACTCCACAAATATGATTGTGATGTGATTATGGATAAAACGTTGTATTGCATTCGTGTTTTAATTGCCTTTTATCCACGCAACAATGTTTAAACGCGAGAACGAGAACTTAAAACATTTACACAATAAATAACTATTGTTACCAACAGTTTAGGTATAAAATTTGTTATAAAAATTTCATAAACAATATTTTTATCAGTGTATACTTGATATAACATGTTTATCTGTTTCATCTACGTCTGCTTTTAAACTAGAATAACTTACTTAACTTGTACATGATAGATTTTAACGTAATACACGCTTTGTAGTCAATATTATTCATATATCATGGATATATTACAATATATACAAACAAAATTAAATGAGCACGTTATCAGAAACACAGGAAGCTAAAATTATCAAGTATGCGCACTAAAGTTCTCACAGCATCTTACGTAGTTAATTATTTCTAATAATAAATCGTATGGATGTGAAATAATTGTTAATTTCGATGCCATTAACCGTTAAGACAGTTTTTTTTAGAGAAATCAGAAATATCTCCAATAGTTTCCTTGGCTTTCAGTTATAGTTTTTTTTATGTACTTAGATTTCGTTTATATCTCTGCAGATAGGTAGAAGTGATAGGATATTTGTTTTAAAAAAAATCTCGTGATTCGTCAAATTGTAAAGTCAAAATCATTTGGTGTGTGGAAAAGCAAAACATAATTACCAGCCCCTTGTGTAACTGTAAGAAAACATGTAAAGTGGAAGTGAAGAATTTTGGTAATTATTTGTTACTGGCAATGTTAGTGAGTTCCAAAATAAACAGGACTTTTTAAAAATAAGAACAACAAAAAGTGATTTTGGCAAAACCAATTTATTTTATTCAAAATAGACTCTTCCGAATAACTACAGCAATTTGCATGGTTTAAAAGCATTTTTCCGAGAAGATAAAAGTCGCAGGGTGCCAAATCAGGTGAATACGAGGAGTGGTTGACAATTAAAATGCGATTTTTAGGCAAAAAAGTGTCAATCGACTACAGTCTCTTATAATTTTCGAATTTTTATCTTATAATAAAAAAAAACAACAATAAGAATTAGCAAAATAGTCTAATCTCGCCATTTCGAAAAGAAACAGAACAACACTGAAGAATTTCAAAGGAAAAAAGGGGATTTACACTTAGTTCAAATGAAGACACTTGAACGGTTCAATAAAAAACTACGAATGTGCGGGGTTCTTTAAATATATATGGTGATTCACAAATGGTGACCAAAAATGAAACCTGGTATTCTTTGGTGAATTTTAAGGGGGAGGGGTCTTTCCTGTAAAGTTCTTTTTTTGTTAAAAAGATGATTCAAAAATTATTTTTAATTTTTTTAAATAATTTAAAAAATAGTAGGTAAAATAATTTGAAATTGGGCACATGAATTTATGTATACATTGTCTAAAATCTGAGGTTTTTTTTTCTAAAATTTACACGCTCCAGTAGCAGAGATACAGGGTATCGGTGGCATATTTTTCTAAAAAAAATAGTACACCACTGCTTTACGGTAACAACCACGATATTTTCGGATTCGTCTTTTAATTTTCTACTCTCAAGATTTTCGAAAAATGCCTGATTTTCGAGTAAAACATAAAAAACGAACTGAGAACACACTTCGATATTCGAATATAATGCTTTTTAAAATTAGATAGTGGACTGCGATAGCAACTTTGACATTACAAGTAGTTAGAAGAAAGAATAAATAATGCTTTTCATCAGGTTCGAGCAACAATAAATTACATTTTCGTCACTAAAAGGATGTCGGGCCTATGTTCGTGGAAAAGAAGGTATTTTTGAGCATTAACTCAAATAAAATTATTAAAATGATGACTAATGTTATTAATTTCTTTATTCGAATAAATAACCGAATGATTAGTGCTTGTCATGTTATTTAAGTAAAAGTGTTTTCAGTTCATTGAGAATTGAAAGACGAATCCCAAAATATCATGACTGTTACCGTAAAGCAGTGGCGTACTATTTTATATAGAAAAATATGCCACCGATACCCCGTATCTNAACGCACTTCGATATTCGAATATAATGCTTTTTAAAATTAGATAGTGGGCTGCGATAGCAACTTTGACATTACAAGTAGTTAGAAGAAAGAATAAATAATGCTTTTCATCAAGCAACAATAAATTACATTTTCGTCACTAAAAAGATGTCGGGCCTGTGTTCGTGGAAAAGAAGATATTTTTGAGCATTAACTCAAATAAAATCATTAAAATGATGACTTATGTTATTTCTTTTTTCGAATAAATAACCGAATGATTAGTGCTTGTCATGTTATTTAAGTAAAAGTGTTTTCAGTTCATTGAGAATTGAAAGACGAATCCCAAAATATCATGACTGTTACCGTAAAGCAGTGGCGTACTATTTTATATAGAAAAATATGTCACCGATACCCCGTAACTCCGCCACTGGAGCATGTAAATTTTAGGAAAAGCACTCAGATGTTGGACAATGTTTACATAAATACATGTGTCTAATTTCAAATTATTTCACTCACTAGTTTTTAAATTATTAAAAAAAAATTAAAATATTTTTTAAAGTGTAACACCTTGTATCTTTTTAAAGAAGCGACCTAGATA